CCCTTCTCACTCACACCGGTTGATGATGATGCAGATAAGTTCTCCTTACCATCCCTATCGCCCCTTTCCTCCTTTTCCTCAAACTCTAACCTTGACTCCAAACCTTCCTCAGACGCCGATGTTTGTTGCAACTCTACCCCTTCTGATTCTCGACCTTTGGCTCCCCGGAACTCAGCATTCTTTATCTTTGAACCTTTACCCTTTGAACCTCTTTTCTTATAAACTTTCTTAAATTTGTTAGTAGGACCAGCACCAACCAATCCATCTTTCAAACGTGAAAAAACTCTTGACACATGAACAAGATGGAACTTGCTTGATTGTTTTACTTTCTTCAATGTCTCTAGAGCAGCAGCATCCCTTTCCTTGATCAGAAATCTTTTTTTGGCCTAAATCAACTCCAAGCCTTCCAACTAGGACTTCAAATCTTGAACACTCATCTCAAACTTCTGGTCCACCATTCTCTTCTTTTGTACCCACTTCCTCAAAAATGACTGCTTGCTTCCAACCTCTTAGCTTCACCTCCTTCGAAATCCTCCCCTTCTCTCCTCCCCTTTTGAGTGTGTTCTTCCCCCCTTACACCCTCCTCGTCTTCTTCCTCTAAGCCAGCTTCCTTTCCTTCCATGTCTCCCTCAAACCTAGCATCTCCCAGTTCATACAAAACCAGCCACCCCACTTGAGTCAGATCAGTAGGGATCTCAAGCACAAAAGAACCGAAACAAATAAACTTACCTTTTGGCTGATTAAGCTTTGTTTGCTCCTTCTCAGATCTCCCAACACCTTCTCCCCAAGACTGAGCTTAGATTCATTGCACTCAAGACGACGATGCACCTCATCAACTCAACTCTCCTCGTTCTTTAGGCCCACAATTTTTCTTCCAGTTCTATGAAATTTAGCAATGACCCAGACCCATTCCTCCACCTTGCTAGTTGGAAGCTTGTGAAAATTTCTCGTTCTCCTCCTCTTAAATTGCTTAATCTTGGCACCTTATCCATTCCGAGCCTTTATTTTGTTGTGCCTAATACCACTACTACCACTCTGAAGCCTCGTACTCAGAGAGTGGTCCCCACTCCCAACACCTAAGGCCTCATTCAAGGACCAAGGCCCTTTGAGAAACTCACTTAAACTCCCACCCTCTAAAAAGTGTCTTTCCATTTTCTCCTTGCCAAACCCATCCACGTGTGTGTCTCCATTAAAGTCTCAATCCCATGCAAAATTACCAATTCGACCCTCAAATATTCCCCCCATCATCTTCCTCATTCAAACAACCCTTCGTCTTCCCCTCTTCAACTAAGAAACCAACATACAACTTCAAACCTGACTCGGTCTTTCTCACCCTTCCTTCCTACTCTCCTTTCGGCATATGCTCTAAAAATAGTGGTGTCGCCCCCCTCAATAAAAATCCTTAGATCATAATTCTCACCTGTAAAAGCCAAAGCTAAAGAGTTTGGAATGGCAGAGACCTCGTCGACCTCCACCAGGATTCTCACAATGTCAATTTTCTCCCATGTCATATTCCTTTCATCAGCGTTCAAGAACTAAACACAAGCATCCCCAATCACTTTGAACGATTCAACCCTCCACGCATGCAAGGGGATTCCTAAGACTCGAATACACATCGCCGTCCTCCTTTTACCTTCTTGAATATGTCATGCCGCTAGAAACCACCAACTTAAACATAAATCACAGCCCCTACTCATCCATTAATCCACTTACACCATAAATCTCCAAACCCACGGCACTTCATGATATTAATAAGGAACTCCCAATCCACTAGATAATAGGCTTTCTCCAAATCCAACTTGATCGCAACCCCATTTTTCCTTGATCTTTTTTGGGCCTCTACACATTCATTCGCAACTAAAATTTGATCCACTATGCCACAATTTGCATCTCCTGAATAAAGGCCCCTTGAGACTAGGAGATAGGTGAGGGAAGCACCTTTCTTATTCTTAATGAGAGCACCTTAGCAATCAACTTATAAGTGCTAGTAACCAAACTGATTGGCCTAAAATCTCTCAGGTGACGAGCATCATTCTTCTTCAGCACCAAAGCTATAAAGGTTGAACTCATTCTTGGATTGATAATTCCTATTCTGTGAAACTCCTGAAAAACTTTAATCAAGTCCATTTTTATTATGTCCCATCAAGCCCTGGAGCCTTTGATCTGTCCATAAAGAATACTGCTTCCTTAATTATCAAAAAAAAAAAAAAAAAACAAACAAAGAACATTGCTTCCTTAATTTCTTCCTCCTCAAATCTTCTCTTTAAAAATTCCACCTGATGAACTCCCAACACATTCCAATCAAGGATCCTTCATGATGATTTGATTGAGAGACAAGTAATCTACACAAAATCTCCAAGTACCAATGTACCATCTTTCTTCTTGACAAGAAAAAACAAAGAAGAATATGGGTTGGAGCTTCATTGAATAAATTTCTTAGCCAGAAATTCTTGGACAATCTTCTCCATCTTTGTTTTTCGAAAACATGGGTATTTGTACAGTCTGACATTAGTGTTTGGGACACTAGGAGTAATGGGCATTTGATGGTCCATGGGATGTTGAGGTGGCAACTCCTATGGCTCTTGGAAGATGCTACTATATTTGATCAACAAGGCTTGAACTTGAAGTGCTTTGTGTGTTTTTGTTTCCAACAGATTTGGACTAGGGGAAGACAAAATTGGGCCAGAGGGTTCTAGGTCCAGCTTCATAAAGATGGGTTTGGTGATCATGTAAACTGCCTTTTAGGACAGTGTACACTGCACAGCCCTTGAGCTTGCAGCCCAATGGGCTCACTTCCCCTGACAAATGATAAGCTTCCTCATCTATGGATAAGTCCCTAATTATTCTGCCCCAATCACAGAGCACCAGCTGCAATAATTTCAGCCATTGAACCCCAAGGACAACATCAGCTCCACTAAATTGAAGGGGATATAAATCAGCAGTGACTTCATAGCCTTGCAACCGGAATAAAACATTCTAGCATATATCATCACACTTAATCAGGTTCCCATCTGCCATGTGGACTGTGGTTGCCTAACACTCTATGCGTTGTGCATGTTGGGGGCTTAACTAGTATTAGTTGAGTTCTGATTTCTCAAAGAAAACTTGTCCATACATTTCAATAGTATTATCGTTGATTCTCCAAATAGTTGGGACAAGGCTTAGATGATAATGGTGATTGCTGATTCTCTAAAACATTTTTGCATACATAAGGTACCTTCTTATTTATTAGTATATCTCTTCATAAATTTGTAAATAGTTTCACCTAGTAAATAAAATATCAAATGCTATTATTCACAATATTGGACCTGATCCCGTTCTGGTGAGGTTAGCCCCCTAGATTTATATTAAGCAGCAGCTCTGGGATGTATCTATCTTGGATGACAGTGGATTTGGCTGCTTTTTCACAAAAGAGAATGTGCACTATTCACGTTTGCAATTCTCCAGTCAGTGGGGTGATTAAATTCAACTTTGAAAGTCTGTCCCCAGGCAACCCTGGCCCTTCTAGGGTAGTTGTTCCAACCAATCATGAAAACAGCATCTCATTGAGCTTCTCAGGCCCAGCTGGAGATGGAAACTTTTTAAGAGCTGAAATATTGGCACTTTTAGAAGGTCTTAAGCTGGCCTGTTCTTGTTGGAATATACTTATGATTGAGGTGATAGTCAGGTGGTTTTTGATTGGATGTCTACAACTGAGGATGGTACATGTGTCTTCATATTTCAGATCATGGACTTCAGCATTTTGGCATCACTCATCAATAGCTTGTTTAATTGGGTCCCACTTCGGGCTCTGCTAATACTTTGGTTGTTGCCTAGGGGTATGTTATGAAGGTGCCCACGGTCTCACCTATCCCATCTTTGGTCTTCATTGTGTGAGTCATATCTCAATGGACACACACCATTAATTGATTACTGATTGACAGTTTGCACTACACCTAATTTTTCCACTTGTGTCAATTTATGACTTATCATTTATAAAGCACAATGTAGTCCAATGCCTTTTACATTTTCATCTTTACTAGAGCTTAATTGCTTAAAATCCTACCTCAAACAAAGCACCTATCCTCATTGTCCATCTTCATGATACTTCTTATACTATCTTCATTTTTCATTTATCAATTTTCCCTTAAAGAAAAATCTTTCTTCACCTTCACTTGGTTTCTTAGTTCTTCACTGGTTACTAAGGAGGATCTGTACCATCTACCACTATATATTTCCCAGATTATTGTATTCTCTCATGAGTTGAAGTTTGTAGTCTTTGGCCTTAGTTTTGCATATTCTCTATATATAATATCTATAAAAACAAAGATTCCATTAACCAATTAATCTAGCAAGGAGAACCAAACTGCTCATCAATTTCTTGCATGATAAATCAAATACGCTATGACAATTATCATAAATGGGTCCACTTGCATCAGTTACCATATGCATTGACTATGTCGTATTTACATTTAAAGTTACAAGTTACAACCACATGGAAAATATCAATTGATCTTTACGCCAACATCAATTGAATTTCAGCATATTTAAATTGATAATAGATAAAATATATAATTTTGAAATTCACTCTATGAGAAACTATACTACTAAACCAAAAGCATCTCTTCTGCTTTAACCATCTTTCTGATGTTCTAACAGACTCTTTCTGCTACTGACTGGGGGAAAATCATGACTAAGCCTAATCTACTTAATTCCAAAGGAAAAGATAGCAACATCAAGGACATAGCCACTTTCAAATCTCATGGTTCCAGTAACAAAACCACATTGCCTGTGTCTGCATGTATTGAACAGTATTCCGGGGTCTGTAGCTTGGAGCTGGATACCACCTTAGATGGAATATAAGATTTAATTTCTTGTGGTCTTGATAAAAAATAAATAAATATCAGAAAGAGCATAATTGTATAGCATAAAGATGATGAAGCTCCATAACAAATGCCATCTATAAATTGGCATTTTGAGAATATAAACACGGATAAAGTTCAAAGGCTTGAATACAATACCATCCATCGCTTGACTTATTGATTCATAATCCATAAATGTTCTGGTTGCTCTGTTCTGAGATGTCTGCATCAATATAATGGTATGCCTATTGGCCTGCACAGGACAGGAAAAGAGAATCACTCATTACATGCTGAACTACAATTGTCTAAGAATGTACAGGTTAATTATTCATATATAGCTAAAATAGAAATTTTGTGGAATATTTAACTTTCCAAATTCATAGCCAAAAGCATTTTGATAAATGGTTCCTGCAAGTTCACACACCTGCAAGTTCACTCTAATAAACAAGTTCCAAAAGGGAGAGAAAACATAGGTTCAGCCCATAAACAGGCTGGTGATTGCTCACCCAATAATGTGCCCAAAGAACTTCTGTATTTGATATTTCCATTTGAATTTCAGTAAAGATGCTCTCTCTCTCTCTCTCTCTCTGATAAATAGTAAAGATGCTCCCTTCCATGTCTCATTTTTACTAACTTGCAGCAATGAAGACAACTCTCAAATTTTCTCGCTCACCATCACTAGGAATCTAGACTAGAGAGATGCAGAGAGCAATATAGGTTTTCGTTCCTCGAGGATTTCAAATAAACTAAGTTTTTGGTTGATTAAGAAGTAAATGTATTATCTATATTGGATTAAAGTGTCCATTAGAAGGCAAGAAATTGCTTTTTTGGGGGGGAGCATGAGTAAAATGATTGTATTGCATATTAATGTTGACAGAAACCCTATGGGTTATAATAGTTAATTGATTTACAGAATACCATACTTTGCTGACTTTTGCATTGGTCCATAGCTCTACCTAGTTGAGTTCTCCCTGGTATATGGAATCTAAACATGGTGATGACTCCAGGTACTCATGAGTTCATGACTCCTCTTAATTAAATGACTCACTCTTTCATGTCAAGTGATTGGCTTCAATGAGTCCTTGAAGTCTGTTCAGGTCATTTGACTCAACTAAATCTTGCAAACTTTGTTTACGCAAAAAAAAAAGAAAAAAAAAATACATTAAATAAACTCAACTTATAAGGCCTTTCCAGGGTAGAAAGTCCCTCTCCAAATCCTTCATTTAATATCTTAAAAAACAAAAAGAGTAAAAAGAAGTGAAATTCCTTCATTACATCCCAATTAATTGATAATATTTGAGTGTTCCTTTTTAAAATTTTTTATAAAAAAAAAATGACCTTTAGTCCAAAAACTCAAAGTTTGCTACACTAATCATCAGTCTTAATGAAGCAAAATAAATTACATAAACTAACAGTAATTATAGGTTCATCACCATTCACCTCCAACTTCAGAATTATTTATTTGCTTTAGCAACAGAAGATCAATCAAGCATCCAAAGTCAATATGGAAAAAATGGCATCATAACTAGGGCTGCAAGTCGGGTTGCTCAATTTGAAGAATTTCAACTACATTGAGCACAAGGCTAGAGTTTTGACCCAATGAAAATTTAATAGTTTCCCAACCTGACTTGACCCAAGTTGCACCCCAGACCATAACTAGACATAGTTAATGGGTTTTTGAAGTAAAAGATGGGCATAACTCTTCAGTTTTACTCCATGACACAATTCCATTCCTAGGATTTCCCAAGCAAGAATCCCTGCACTGACACATCAACAATACATAGATTCAACTCTTTAAGGTAGAAGAAGATGCCTTTGAACAAATAGTTCAGACATTCGTTGTTTCTGATTATTGGATTTGTTACATAGAGACAAAAGACATAAAAAGTAATAAAATGTTTCAAAATGTAAGAGTGCTAAGACTTGTTTTAAGGAGTAATGTAATAGTTGATCCATCGTTTGTATCCTCTGTCTCTGTTTGGCTAGTGTGAGACCCTTCCTCGTTTACTAATCTCCTGCTCTTTTGTGTCTTGCATTTGGGAATACTTCTCTTCACTCTTTGGTTGTAGACGGGATCCCCCACAAGATGTGATCAGCTTATTCAGCTCCAACTTCTTGCGGAAATAGAAAAAAGGGCAAAATGCTTATGAAAGATAACAAGAGCAGCTGTGGTATGGACCATCTGGGAAGAAAGAAATCAAAGGATTTTCAAGGAGAAGAGCAAACCTAAGGAGGAAGTAATTGAAACCATCAAAATCAGATCTGCACACTGGGTAAAAACTGTTGATATCTTCAAAGATGTCTCAACAAATGAAATATTAAGGAAAGGGAAGGAAGTGCCACAAATGGACACACATATAGAAATTATAAAGATGGATCGGAAACCTCCAGAGCCAAATAAATTGGAGCTGAACTTTGATGGTAGCTCTTTTGGTAACCCTGGGAGGGCAGGTATAGGGGGGAGTCTTTAGAAAGCATCAGGGAGAAGTTGTGGCTTTGTTCTCAGGACCAATTGGGTACGGAGACTCAGTTCGGGCAGAAATAATGGCACTCTTACAAGGCATGAAATTAGCAGTACAATTAGAAGCTAGAGAGCTGGAAGTAGAAGGGGACTCACTATTGGTCATCTCTTGGGCTAAGCAAGTAAACAAAGCAGGAAGTATAGATTTGCATTCAGGGAGATTGCCCTTCTTGCTAAGAGTTTTAACTCTAAATTTGGGTGGTTAAAAGGACAGAAAATGGATTGGCAAATACTCTAGCAAAACAGGGAGTTGATAGGCCTACTCTATTTTCGGCAAAACTGTAGCTGGTTGTATCAAAACAGAGAGATGACGATCCTTGTAATCTGGGGCAAATTGTGTGTCGCTATACTCCGGACTGCAGAGTAGCTAATGCACTTGTAATCTGTTTATAAATTAATAAATAAAATCTCTTTTCTGATAAAAAATGTAATTGCTGATCCATTCACAATTCCTATTGCAGATGGACTTCTCTTCTACATATGAAACTCTAATCAATACAGCATCTTCTGGTACCTTGTCCATTTTATTTAGTTATTTATTTTTTGGGAAAGGTCCATTTTATCTAATCTAATTATAAATTGGTGAAAAAGAAAAGCCCAACAAAAATACCCCCCTATTTTCTTTTTCTGATGATCAAGAAGATTAAAGAGACATCACTGGAATTATAGGAACTGAAGATAAGATAAACCCCCTACCTTCCAACTAGGAGGGAAACAGAGTGTACAAAAGTGCATAGCACTGACATACTGTCAAAGCATGTTTTTAATGAGTAAAAGATCTATTGATAACAGAAAGATCTACCGCTTTAGAGGGCTGTATGCTAAGTACAACAAATGAATGTTGCTACAAAAAAATTCCTGTTTGTGCCATTTTTCACCTTATCTTAAGGCAATAAGCATTTCAACAGAGAGAGACCTACAAAAGCAAAATGAAGCCCACTATAATCAAAATGTTCAAAGAACACTCCTTCATTGGTTTTCCATGAATATAAGGAAAAGAAAAAGAATCAAAAAGACAAACATGTTGTCTATTCCAGCACCTCTCCCATGAAGTACTGGCAACCAACAACACTAATCAACAGATGTTGCACATCTCACCGCATTAAGACTACAGCTATCTTCAATTAAAAGTGCAGACATAGAAAGACACTTAACATCCAAGTACAACCCAAGGGCTCTTGAGCCTACAGCTAAAATTAGTAGGCATTATTGATCAAAATAGCATAAGTGCGCCCTATTCCAACCAGCACAACTTCCAAATAAGCCATCAGCACTCAAATGACACGTCTTGCAGGGAAAATAGCAAATCTAATTCAACCTAATCCTAGAAGCCTTTTTCTCAGAATATCAGCTCTTAGTCTTCACCATCAAGAAATCAAAGAAAAAAAAAAGTTCAACCATAGAATTTCACTCTTTCCCCGAACAAAAAATAATAATAAAAAATGGCAGGAAAAAATCTTGACTTTAATCTTTAATGCTCCGACCGAATTTGCACCAGATGAACAGATTCAACATTTACAAACAGAAAAACCGTGATTTCCTTCAATTAGTCATTACAAATTGTTTCTCGATTAAAAGAATACACTGCTAAAAGGGGCAAAAAAAAAACACAATCTTTTTTACATCAAACAGAAAGAGAGAATGCTTACCATGTCGAGCGATGCACTCAGATAAGAAAGCGCGTATTTGTTGCAGAAATTAGAATCCGAGGGAAAAACGAAGACAGGTTATTAAAGAATTGCAGAGAGAATCATTGACTCGGGTCTTGAACGGCAGAACCGCAGAACGGGAGAGAAAAGAGACTGGTTATTCACTTATTCCATGCACCCACCCATGGGACCCCCTTTACTTTCTGGATTTTTAGAACATGACCCTAAAATTAATCTTATTTATTTTTACTCCCCTCACATTTTTATCTTACAAAATAGATCCAACATTTATTGGACACCTTGCAAAATGCCTCCCATTGAACCAATGAACCTACCACCCCGAGGTGGTGGGTTCGGCTGACAAAAACATGTGAAACCAAACCACCCCAACCCATGAACAACCTTGATTGCTACTTCAGTAAATATCCCTTGGATTCTTTTGGGAGACTTTAATTAAGTTTTTTCTAAGTGGTGAGAATACGGGTGGTTTGATCAAAGTAACTAGCTGCAACATGTGTTGTTTTGCACATATGTTGGATGTGTGCCAATTGATTGACTTGGGGCCCATAAGAACCCCTTTAACTGGACTAACAAAAGAGTAGGAGATAATAATATTAGGGAGAGGTTGGGGTGTAAACAAATTGAAATCTGAATCAAATTAGGCAATATCCGAATTTGAATTCGATTAGAAAATCCGATATCTTACGGATATTGAAAATTAATATTCAAATTGCAAACTAATTAAATATTTAAATATTCGATTTGACCAATTAATTATTTTATAAATGATTTATATAAAGCATACAAAGTATATAAGTTATTTATATAATTTAACTATTATATATATTATATAAAGCATTTAAATACTTTATATATTATATATAAGAATTAAATAATTGGTCGAATTTGGAAATTTATTGAATCAAATAAGGTCATATCCGAATTCGAATCTGATTAACTATTCGATATGAATAGGATATCTGAATTCAACTAATTAGATATTCGAATTATTGGAATTTGATTCTATTGTTGCCAAATATGGAGTCGAGTACAACAACGTAATTTCTAGCGTTCGAGGCTGATGGGTCTAACCTACTGAGAGAAAGAAAGAAAATGTCAGAGGCCCTAGGAGTTATCCCAGGGGTGAAGGCTCTAATGATCAAGTTAGCAGAGGGCTTTGGCCTTTGAGGGGTTGGACCAAGCAAGAGAGGATACTTAGAGATTGAGTTCCAGTGTGTGTTTACCTTAATGTGGGAGCCCCTTTTTATAATTAGAGTTACCTGAGAGGATGAGTAGTTGGGAACAGGTGGCTGCAGTTGGTGATGGATGGTCAGGGTGCATTCAGCCGACACCACGTGTCAAGATCCGTGGGATGGCCAAGATGGATCTGGCCGACGCTATGTGTCAAGATCTGTAGGTCGGCCAGATACCCCTACATCATTTACCCCCACTCTCGAGGCCATAGTGACCGAGGTTGGTTGGCAACTGCTCCTTCGCTGCAGAGCTCTTCTTGAATGCAAAGAGTATAGTACATTTGTGTGGAGGCCTCGATTCCGGCCAAAGAGAGTATAGTACATTTGCGTGGAGGCGTCGGCCACGGCTGTAGAGCTCTTCTCAATAGCTATGTGGCAATTGCTCCTCCGTTCACCCTTTGCGTCAATAAAGGACTATCCGAGGCTGAGGGGACATGACCGTGGCCCGTACAGGCATAAGCTATCTGCGTTTGTTGTCCATGCTTTGCATGGGCATTGATGTCACACGTCGTATGGCCATACGTAGGATGGGCTTTGTATGTCCTTACGCAGAACGAGCATCGTATGTCCATACGGAGGTCGGGCGTTGTGGTCGACTGAATGAAGCCATGTACGAGATGGTGTAGGGGGTTTGATTCGACAAATCCTTGAGCCGGAGTCGATGGGTGAACCGGCCTTGTCTCTTGGTGTCGTTTGACCTTTGAGGTCGGTGCCACGTTGAACCCGTCTATTCGGGCTGTCAGGTCGACAGGTCCACGATTGTTGGATCAGTTGGATATGAGCCATACATTTTTTCTTTAAATAGGGAGGCTGGTTGAGTGACTTTCCACCATTTGCTCGAAACCTTCCACCTTGGATCTGAGGACACCTTGGCTATCAACAATCAATCCCTTAGACCTTCTTCAATTAACATCTTTAGGTAAAGAATTGCTGACTCCAACATGTCAGCCTCGAATTCTGGTTGTGAGGCTTATAACCTTCATGACTGGAATACTCCTAACAACACTCCTAGTAGTGATGGGAGTGATAGTAGTGACTCTAAGGGCTCCTCTCGGATGTCAGGGTTGTGCCTCATGGGGCCAAACATGACCAACAGAGTGGGGACTCTACCAATGAGAATACCGGTTCCACACAGCTGAGGGCCGATGCCCTAGGGAATGTTCTTGGGCACCCTGATGTGGTAGACATGAATGAGGCTGAGGAACCCACGACCGAGGAGCGGGCCAAGGCTAAGCGCCGAGGTGCGACGTTGGGGCATTACCCCCGCTCTGACTTAGATTGCACTCTCGACAAGGGGTAAGGTAGCGCATTGAGCGAGAAGTACTATATTGCAGGGGACTATAGGGTTAGAGTCCCTTGCATGGGTGACAGGTTGTGGCTATATCCTAAAGGGGCGGTGTGCATCCACAAGCATTACCTTCACTTCAGGTTACAGTTTCCCTTGCACCCCCTCATTCCTGAGATCATGAACCATTATAACCTTACCCTTAGCTAGCTCGCTCCCAATGTCATTAGGACGATAGTGGCCATATTGGTGATGACCCATCTCCAAGAGGTGTTAGTGATGCTGAATATATTTTGGAGTTTATTCGCATTGAGAAAGCATCCTGACAGGATGGCTTGTGGAAATTCCAAGGCCGACGAGATGGCTTGTGGTACAACCTGTCTTCTGTTCACAACTAGAAGAAGAAATTCTTCTTCGTTAGTTGCCCCTAAGGCTGGTCCTTTTGGTCCAATTGGGGGAACCTAGACATGATGACTGGGAGGATTACGCCACGTAGCAGTGATGAAGAGAAGGTTGTGATGACTTGGCTTCGACTAAGCGGGATGATTCATGCCAAACCCTTGATGAAGGATGAGGTCTTGGTGATGATGGGCCTTAGTCCTGCCCCCTTGGTACGGGCGCTTCCACTATCTGCCAGTTGTAAAATTGATTAAGTTTTGTTGGCACTCTTTTGACTTGTTTGCTTCTCTTGTTCGCAGAAATGGAGGGCAATAGGAAGGTGAAGTTGTTGGAGGCGATGTCTAAGAGAGCTATCGGGAGCATGCCTCAGCGTCTGCAGGAGGAGGGGGCCACAAGACAGCGAGTTGAGGCCAAGGCGACCGATAAGAAGACAAGTAACAAGCGTAGAAGCACCCTGCAAAAATGATCTGAGACCCTCAGGTCAAAAGGCTTCAGTTGTGCGAGCAGTGCCAACCCGAGGGGAGCCTCGATCATCTGATCCATGGGAGAATGAGTCGCTCACCTCTTGTCGGATCTTCCGGTTGACGTGGAGTGTCCGAGAAGGGGACTCCTTGTTGGTTCCTGTGTTAGCTAGTAGCTAGCGGTCGACATGGTCCTTCCTGGGGATTTCCAGTCCTAGATGTAGTATTCGATGGATTCAGTTTGGGACACTTTGGGACAAGTCTGTTGAGGTATGCATACATTTCTTCGAGTATGTTGTGTCGCTGGGGTCTTCTTGGTAGTATGTGATTGACGATTTTCTTTTTTCATGTGCATATATGGTCTCTTGCTCTTTCGGCCTTTGCAATAAGGTTGAGGTGTTGATCTAGCAACTTTAGTTGGTGTAAGAGAAGAATGAGCACCTAAAGCAGCAAGCGGCCAAGGTGTAGTCCGGTCAAGAGGCAGTCAAGGGTTGGGCACACAACGAGCATGAGCATCGCAAGAAGGCCGAGGCCGAGGTGGCAAATAACAGGGAGCTCATGAAGGAGCTAAAGTCCTCCTTGGCATCAATGGAGCAGTAGTTGGAAGAGTTGGCTGCAAAGGTAGTTGAAAAATATAAGACCTCAAAGGAGCATGTGACGAATCTAACCACCTTTGCCTCCCAGGCTTACTTAAAGGGCTTTGACGACTGAAAGGCCCAAGTGATGAAGTTCCTTCCGAGCTTCGACATCGGCCAATTGGATCCGTTCGCCATTGAAGCTTGACAGATAGTTGACGTACTGGGGATAGATGAGAACCCAACCATCGATGCCACTACCCAGGTCGTCGCTCAGACTAGAGGGGGCCAATAAACATTTCCTTGTTTTCTTTTGTTTGGGCTTGCGTGCCCCTAAAACTTGAATAATTTTTCTTCTTCTTTTTTATAAGGGTCCAATGCCTCCCCCATAAGAGGCCTTTTTTTGTAAAGATATTCGAGTAAATGCAACTTATGTTTCTTGCTAAAAGATGTTCTACCTTTCTCCTTTTCTCTTCTTTATCTTCTTCTTCTTTGTTTTGTGCAAGGGGTCAATGCCTTCCCTCGAAGAGGCATCTTTGTAAAGAACCTTGCTATTCTTTAAAAAAGTAATTATTTATTTCGGAAGTGTTCTTTACTTAGTCTTTCATGAGGATGTTTCGTATTAGAGTCTTTTAGGCCGATGTCAACACCACGAGTTGTTCGATAGTAGCTACCAAAGTCTTTGGAACTCTTTGCCTTAGCAAAAAAGAAGGAAATCGGTTGTGGTCGAGGCCGACATCATGCTTAATGCGTCATTGCGTAAGGGCTTTGTGGCCAAGGTCACAAGTGATTGCCTTAGTGGGAAAGTATTGTTTAGTTAGTGTGTCGTTCATCGTGTTTTTTATTAAGTAATTGGATGATGTCGCTCTTTGGCCTCCAAAGACTCACTTATTTAAGGATCTTTGAGGCCGAGGTCGGGGTTGTGGCCTAGCTTATCAATAGTTGCTGAGGTCTCGGAAGTTCTTGCCTTAGTCATAAAAGGTCAAAAGGTAGTTAGGCATATGACTCACAAAGTGTCGTATGCCTTGGGGCCGACGTCTGGTTTGAGCGTATAACCTTAAGGAAGGTTGTATGTTGCGGTCGGCCGACCGAGGGGGGCCACCATTTGGTCTGGGTGTATAACCTTAAGAAATGTTCTATGCTGCGTTCGATCGGCCAATGGGTCCTGGCAGTTGGAGGAGAT